CATGGACAGGAAACACAGGGATAACAATAACGGCGCGGTGCAGGCGGCCACCGGCGCCGCCGGTCCCGCGGCCGTCGACGAGAACGCGTCGCCATTCCAGCCGTCCCACATACTGCCCCACGTGTTCGACGGAGGGAACAACATGGTGATCAAAGACATGTCCGCCTCGTTGAGTTCGCTGTACGACGAGAACACGTTTTTCCAGATGTCCACGGTGTTTTCCGAATCGTAATTATTTATCGTTCGCGTCCGTCGCGTTTGTCGTTATTTCATGTATAAATTAATATTAATTTGTTTAAACTATAGTTACCACTCGGTAGACCCCTGCCCCTCCTCCTCCTCCTCCCCCATCCGCCCCTCACTGGTTGAGCGAAGCGTCCGCCGCGTTCGTGTTGATTTATCATTTACTACTCCGCGAACCGGCCGTCATCTCTTTGTCCGACGGACCGATCGGTTTGACAGTTTGTAAAACGCGATCGTAAGTTTTAGAGTATATACATACATAAAAAGTGTAATTTTTTTTTTTTTTTTTTTATCGTTTTTAATATTATAATATTAAGTGTATTTTTTGCGTAAAAATTTATAAAAAAAAAAATGTGTAAATCCATTATTGGATTCGATTATTGTGTGTTTGTGTGTACATGAAAACGTTAAAATTCATAATTTTATTTATTTACAATTATTATCATATCGTTTTGAACTGTAATAAACGTAATATTATTATTATTATTATTATTAATTTTTTTTTTTTTTTTTCTGTTATAAACGATGTGATCTTCGTTTTAGAAGACTTTTATCTTATTTATTTTGATTTGTTACAAATAAAGCCGTAAATGTACCTACACCTTATATGTATATATATGTATACATATATATATATATATATATATATTATATACCTTTTTACACGGCGTGTTTACTTCTTTATCCGTTCGAATCGATTGAATACGCCGGCAATACGGATGGAAGACTCGCGAGGGCCGGGCCCCGTCGAAACGCACATGGCCGAGAAATCGTCAGACCCGCGGACGCGCCGTGCACCCAAAGTGGTCGGCGGTCACTGGTCGCTGTTATCATACAATAAATGTAATACTGCAGTATATCGGTAACATTGCGCGATGCGGTCATTTTCGAATTCGAAAATACTGTCGCGGCGCGAACGAAAAATAAAGTAAAATTTTACAAAAAAAAAAAAAAAACAAACGTAATCGGTGCGTATATTACAATTGTTATTGTGTGTGTGTGTAGAACGTGCGACGACCCCGCGTGCTTTCAATCCGGATATATTTTAACGCGACGAGGACTGTTACTGCACAGACATGTTTGATATTTGTGTTTCTCTGTATAATTTCCGTACGGCCATTATCACGTGCAATTTTCAAGTTCAATCCCCGTTATTGAATGTTATTAAATTAAATTGACGCGTTGCTTAAATCATATCTCGCGGTTAATCGAGTAGCGAATCTGCCTGTCCGGGTCTTAAATCGCTAAATAACTCCTAGCTATGAAAACTATTCTTGGTCCAACGGGGACGGGCGCGGGCACTGTTGTAGGTGGGAAGTGGGGAAGGCGGGATATGTAGGACGGGAAGAATTCAACGCGTGTCTGTACGCAACGATTGGCCATTGCGATTCTGAGCGGAGTTCGGTTGATAGTGTTGCTTTGCCAACAACACACACGCATGTCACATTATGGTAAAACAATTACGCACGCATTAAACATTTTCTTCAATAATGTTTCTTATACCGATTTTCCCGTTTCTCCTACGTGGTTGCCTGGTAATATTTTATACGATATTATTTATAAGTCTTCGCTGTTGCGCGATGACGAAGCGTGATTAGTGATTGTCGAAATAACGGGGAGGGGGCGGAGTAAATTACCCGGATTTAGATCGCGCCGTGTCGAATATTTGCAAAACGAAACGATGTCGAAGACGCCCGTTACGGTTAGGTTACAGTGACTTTTACGTTTTACGGTATCGATGTCGAATAAATCGAATAAATAGCAATATTATTGTTGTTGACAGGGGTCGGCCGGACAACACAATGTACTTGCGTGATTTTAGAAACCGCGGCGGAAAATATACTGCAGTCGTTTCACAGAGGACGCTGAATAAAAAAAAACCGATCGGCCGTAATTCGTCGGGAAATCAATATCGAGCGATTAACGCCTCTATTAGTGTTCGGCGACATTTGTTTATTGAAAAAGGCGCAATAAAAAAAAAAAATAAAACCTTCGGGTATTGGCTGGCAATTAAAACCGAGGCTTAAAAACGCTACCGAAAACATCGGTAGCCGGATGGGAACGGACAAACTGTTGCGGACCGACTACCGCTTACCGTTAATTATGACACGGTTACCACGGCGGCCGGTTCTTTACGGAGACCGGTCCAACACTTGCTCCGAGAGAATACTATTGTAAACGGGTGTAATGATAATATAATAATACGAACCCCGAAGATCAGCCGCGCTGGTCACAGCCTACTACCACACCGTTCGTTTAAATTCAAAATGGCACTCGACAATAGCTCGTATTGCTCCCTACCCGATTGTGGTGGGGACTACTGTGTAACTTTCAAGAATCCGGCCAAAGCCATTATTTTCCTCTCTCGGTGTCAACCTATCCCTCACCGACGCCCTTTCGGGCAATTTACAGACGATTTATAATTGAGAAATACGTGCGCGTTGATTTGGGACGTCAACCAGTCGTGAGCAGCGTTGTCCGGACAACACGGCGGTGGCGTCACGGGGAACGCGCATGCCGGGACCTGTTATGTGCGCGGGTTAGGATCAATTAGCGTTCAACGCGCGTGCGTTGATCGCCGTGGGTGTTGACAGAGACGGGACCCCCAGCGCGGACCGTTCGCGGGCACCTCGTGTGTTTGGGAGACCCCGGGCAGGACCGTGCGGTGTTGCCGGGCCGCACCGGTTACCGCCGGGAAGGGCGGCGGGAACGCATTTTGTTCCATCTTGACCGGTCCGCTGTTTCGGTGACCACCTACGGGTGAACGCCCGCGGGGTGCGTCCGAGTCTGGATCGCGAAATGTGGAAAAATCGATATGTATACGTGTGTATTCCTTTTTCGGATGCTCACGCGCGTGGACGCGAAACCTAGCACTTGGATGGGACGGAAAGTAAGAGAAAACAACAAAATACGGGGGGGGGGGGATTTTGGCCTATCGCACTTGGGACGCGGAACGCGGCGATTGGCATAGCGAGACGGGCACACGAATCTAGCCGGTTGATTCCCGCAAGTACACCGGAAGGATTTGACATAAAAATAAAACATTTGTAAAAAAAAAAACGTATTCATACGGAGAAACCTTAATTAAATTACCTTAAAATCTAATTGACAAGTTGACCGCCGCGGTATTTTTATAGAGCCGTCCTCACACGGTACGAGTACCGGAATAGGTACTCACCACGTTTGTCACGTACGCCGTTGTATTTTTGGACATTGTAACACGGGCCACGGGTATTTTCGTCATATTTCCCAACAATTTTCTCATCGTTATTGTTTATTTACACCGTTTGAATAATAATTAACAGAAAAATAAACCGATTTCGAGTGAGCGAAGTTTAACCAACTAACGGGGTATCGGCCAATTACTAAATCGTATACACATTACCCGTCGTTCACCCGGACATGTCCGCCCGGCGGACCGGGTCGGGACTCACTCCGTTGATCCGTTCGAGGCACCATCGTGAATCGTGCCTAGGTACACGACCTTTTCTTGGCGGCGAAAATCGGCGAATCCGTGTAGTGCACGGGAGTATTTCGTTAGGAGAACATGCGTGCGGTGACGGAAATCCCGAGACGGGGTCTAAACGCGGCGGAGAACGAAGCGCACGAACGGAAAAACAAAAGAAACTGGGTGGCGGAGCGCGGAGACGTCCGCGGCACGTCGCCGCGGGCCGACGTTTTTGGCGATAAGGGGAAACGTGATATGATTGGCCGTTAACCCGTGGTCGGAAATATAATATTATCGCGAATTGCGACAGATTGCGAACGCATAAACCTTTGCGCGGGGAGGGGAGGGGGGAAAATGATTGTTGATGATGACATGAAATATCCGTCGACGCGGGCGTAATCTATTGACCGGTCGACCGTGTCGGCGGTACGTACGGCGCGTCCTTTTTGTCAACGGGAAATGGTCGGTTTTGGACGTTACAAGTGTTTTACTTAATGAGCACATTATTTTCGGAGGCCTCGTCGAGTTTTCGGCTGGGAAAGGAGCGGTTGAAATCCCCCAAAGGCCCCTACTCTGTCTGCGCCACTACGTTAGAGTTTAGAATTTAAACAAAAATTTATACCCCCCCCCATAGTCTATAAAATATGTATACATATATTTCTTTGTTTGTGTATTTGGCGGAAAATGTCGCAGTGGAGGCAGCCGACTCTATTGCTTCTCCCGTGCGCACGTTTCTGAATGGTAGGCGTTATTATTGTTTATTATTGGTGTACAGCCGGCAGCCGTTGCTCCGATGATAACGTGTTATCGTTAGGTTTAGATGCATCGTTTTTAACGTAAAGTTCAGTCACGGAAAATATATTAAACCACTGAACTCGATAAACGTGCTCTGAAATGTGCCATGAATTTGGTAGGTTTCTACGTCTAGATATTCGATGGTTTCGGTAAATTCTGTTTTAACACAAAATCAGTTTTGTTATGTAATCATAATTTTTTAACACGTCTTAATCGTAACAATAAACTAAAAAAAAAAAAAAAATCGCACATGATGTACGTAGCTGTCCAAAATACTAATACTCCTGCCGGGGCCCAATCCGCCCCTGAAAATCAATATTCGACGGATACAAAAACTGTCGGTGTTTTTTCGTGGCAATTATAGAAACCGACGCACTTCATCGTAACCAAGGCGTTTATAATAACAAATCGCCTTGATCGTACCTACTGTATGGACGCCGGGCGGCTTTGCAGCCGCTGATACAACCGGTTGTTCCGTTATCACTGTTATCAGCCGCCGTCCGGTGACCAGTCGTGTTCGTTCTTAATTCGTCGGTCGTATTTCGTTCCACCTTACTGATCTGTAGTCGCCACAGTTTTTGTGTGGATTTCGCAAACGCCGCGCACCGAACAAAGTTAACTTAACTAATTTACCTACACTCTCGTTGTAAATACAGTCTGTTCACGCTTTTGGTTCTTGAACGATACAGTACTTACGTTGTCAGAACATTAACCCGACACCATGACGCCGTGTTCGAGCGAAACTGTAGACCTGCACGAGTGCCCGAGATTGATAACAGGACTAACACGACACGCCGGGAGAGTATGACTACAATGTTTAAATTTTACTATAGAAAAAAAAAAAGAATTAATAAAAACAGTAGGCATCGAGTACCAACAACGTTGATTACTGATCTGCAGTCGTTTCCCATTGAGATCGCTGTTCAATTCGTTATTAGATAATATTTTGTATGAACATATAGCATTAAATAAACATCATGTAAACTGATTTTCTGGTTTATAATGCATTATTTTTTTGTAGATCATTAAGTTTCGAATAAATCAGAAAAAAAAACAATATAGACCAATACCTACACCATTGACTTTGTCACTGAAACCGATCAGGAAGTGGACAAATTGCTCATTGAAGGAATTAAACGAAAATATCCCAACCAACCATAAGTATGTTAGCGGAAAAATATAATGAATAAATACAATTCATTACATTGATTAATTAATTTATTTTTATATATACATTTTTTATTTACATATTTATTTACTTTATTTATTTACGAGTATTAACCATATTAATAGTTTTGTTTTTACTTTATTATTTATTATGGCAGGCCTAGCCAATGTTCCAACTAAGATAATGAACAGGATTGAATGTTTAAACATGAACTTAATTAATACTAATATGAATATCTACTTCAATAAAACTTGTAAGATATTGAAATTCGTTCCAAAATGCATCAATATACATCTGAAGCTGCAATTAAAGCCAAGAAAGCAACAGAGACAATATTGCTGAACACTGAAATTAAATATTTATTCATTAGCAAAAAACATGTAATAGTAAGAGAGATTAATAATTTAGAAACAATTTTATACCAAAGTTTAAACCACTTACAGATTTCACACTTTAAAAATCATATCCAACAAACATTACTACATAAGAAAAATTAGAAATGGCATAGGGTTAATGATAAAATTAATATTTTAGTAGCACAAAATACACTGAAATTACAACTTAAAAACCAGCATTCTTTTCAACTACGAGTTACTAATTTAATTTTCATAGTTTTCAATAAAGCTAAAAACAATTTATTAAATGAAGGTAACAAATTCAATACATATCAAACATTAAACTTTCAATCAATTAAAAAGCAATTAATACAATTTGAATCTGTTATAAATTATATGCAATTTCAAAATCAAAATTAAACGATAAAACTTAATAAACATCACCAATATAAACTACAAAAAAAAAGCCTAATAAAATATTAAAACAAAAAAGTATAGTTAAAAGACAAAATACAATTATTAATAACATACTGAATAAATTAAAAACAAATAATTCAGAAATAGTTCCGGTAGATAAATCTAATGCTATTGTTACTATATTTAACCTAACGAAATTCATAAAAAAAAAACTTTAGATCTTATAAATAACAATAATATTCAAAACTTAACTGATGGCCTAAATATAATTTACACTAAACAAATTAATAAACTGATAAAAAAATTCGAAAAAAATCATATCTAAAGTCCAAAAGAAAATATTAAAATCTGAGATATTACAAAATAGAGGCTCCACAATTACATCCACTCATAAAATTACATAAACAAGATAATCCGATTTATCCATTAATTAACTTTAAAACTGCTCCAACTTATAACCTTTCTAAATATTTAGACTCTCATAAAAGAGAAATTAAACACGAGTACCGATACTTCTATAATAAACACTTATGATTTTTTTAATAAAATTAATATTATGCTAGGTTACAAAATGGTTTCTCTTGACATTAAAATCTATATTTATATATCCATTCCTAAACACGAAACAGTAAATTTTTTAAAAAATAAACTTATACATTGTAATAAATTTAATACAAACAATGTACATAAATTATTCAATCAATAAATGTAATTATCAATCAAAACTATTTTCAATAAAATAACAAAATTATATTCACAAAAATAAGGTTTAGTTATGGGTGGTCCTTTAAGTGCTCTTTTATCTGAAATTTACATGCAAAATTATGAAACCAATAATATTAAAAACAAAATATATAGCCTATATATATAAGCATATATTACAGATATATTGATAACACGTTCAATTTATTTAGAGGTTTAAATAGACAAGCAGAAAATGTAGTTAACTACTTTAACAAAATAAATAAAAACATTCAATTTACACTTGAAATACAAATGAATAATAAATTAAATTTCTTATATCTTACAGTTTTCATAATAAATAAACTAATAAATAAATATTATATATTATTGTATATATATTGTACTATAATACCACATGATTCTAATCACCCTTATTCTCAAATAATATCATTTTTTAATTCAATATTCTATAGGCTTGAATGTTTTCCAATAAATAAACATAATTATCAACACCAGCTCAATATTATCTATTATACAGCCCATAGAAATAATTTCAATTTAAATACTATCAAAAAAATTCATAAACGTATTAAAGAAAAAATCATACACAACTCACCAAATAATGTTATTAATTATTGTAGTATGTAATATCAAAATAATATGTCTAACAAATTCGCTAAAATTCAGAACACTAATACAAATAATGTAAAAATCGCTTTTAAGACTAATAATAATTTAATCATGAACTAAAAACTTTAAGAAAAATCCCCCTTCTTTTGAAAATGCCGGTATATGGAAACTTAAATGTAACACATGTAATACATTTTATATAGATATAACAAATAGAAATTTTACAATAAGATATAGAGAAAACATTTCAGAAATAAAATTAAAAAAGACTGCTCCTAATTCAAATTTCACTAAACATGTTTTAGAAAATAACCATAATATAAGTTTTGATTTTAATACAGACTTATACAGAAATATTAAATACCCAAAATAAAATTTATATTAATTCAGTTTTAGAAGAATTGCATACTTCAGTGAATTAAAACAAAAACAATTTTAATAATATTTTAAATGTTCAAACCGATTTTAAAAATAATATCTTATATCATTATATTTTAGATAATAAATAATAATCAAATACATTTTATTTCTTAACATATCTATGTCTAATAGTAACTAATTTTAAATAATCTCTGCTATTAAAATAAATTATTTTTATATTCTGTGTAAAACAAACAAATTATATACATTTTTTTTCTCTTTGTATTCATTCATTTCATTTTTTATATTCAGTCGCGTTTTATATTTTGACTGTAATATACTTGATGAGAAATTTTTAATTTGAAATCGGTCATATAATACACTTGTCATAATACTCCCAGTGATACATTGATTCATTTATTTATTTTATTTTTATACATAAATTGTTTATTTATAGATTTATTTACTTTAATAATTTAAGGTTTATCAAAGAAGAACCATTTGTTGCTGGTGAAAAAGAGGTGCTGACCAATGCACCTTCTTGGGTTATAGATCTTGTGGACAGTACCACTAATTTTGTGCATAGTTATCTAAATGTTTATTATCTATAGATCTGCTCATTGACCGTGATGTCGAGTTAGGCATTATCTTTAACCTTATATTGGACATGTTTTGTAGAGCAATAAAAGGCTAATACGCATTTTTAAATGATGAACCCATTAAAGTCAGTGGTATAAAAAGTAAATTTTTCTTGGCACTTATAATGCCAAATTTGTAATTTTAATTTTTTTTTTTATCAGTTTATTTTAGAATTAAGTGATGCTTTGGTTGCTGTTGAGTATAGTTGAGTCAATATTGAAGAATTTGGGAATGCTGTGAACCTAAATATTCAGCAATGAATGCCTACAGGTAAAGTTTTAATTATGTACTATCTCAGTATACAATTTTATAAATACAATATTTCTTTTTCTAGTATTTGTGTTGTTGGTTCAGCTGCTTGGAATTTGGCTCAAATTGTAAGAGGAGCTATGGAATTGCATGTGCATTGGCATTCATACTTGGGACATGGCAGCAGGTGATATTATTGTCAGAGAAGCAGGCGGTTCTGTAATCGATCCAGCCGGTAATCAATATTAATGATTAATGTTTTAAAATATTACGTGTATATTTTTTAAGATAATGTAATAGAATTGAAGTGGTTTGAAAAAAAAAAATTAGTTCTTAAATTCATTAAAATAGTTTAGCTGAATGCCTAATATAAATTATACCCATTAATATATTATGTCCATTGTTCAAAGATATGAAAATGGTCTAATGAACATTTTGTGAACCAATTTAATATATTTGTTATCTTGTTAAAATTGAATCAAATATATTTTACTATTTAATTTTTAAATATTGAATAGAATATAAATAAAAAAAATCAATAAGCGACTTGTTTTTAATAATTGGCTATACAACACACAAACAAAAACTAATAGAGTGTTTTAAGATTTAAAAACAAATGTATATGTACTTTTGATGTATGTCATTTTAATAATTGAACCAGTTTTAATTTCTTAAGCCAACTAGTTGAGAGCATTTTAATTTTTAAAATGTTTTGGTGTTTTCAAACCATTAAAGTATTTACACCCGAAGAATAAGTTTTAATTTTAAAACTATTATATTTGAAATTGTTTTAACGCCATCATATAAACATTTTATTGATGATAATACTCATAATAATATACTATTTTGATTAGGTAAAACCTTACAATTAATGCACCATAAAATACTAGCTGCGTCATCAACAGATTGCCAATGAAGTATTTCCAAACATTGTGCAATATTATATAAAATAGCAAATGTATGTAACTCAATAGTCCTGATTTTTAAAACAACATTTTCTTAAGTATGCATTTCAAAAGTGAGGTTGGTAACTATTTTTTCTTTTTAATTATTAATGACATCTATTAATTAGTTGTTTTCGAACATTTTACAAAAATTACTTTCATTTTCTACCTACTTATAGCATTGCCATAATAGTATGATAATTGATAGGTAATACAAAAATATTAGCTATATGAAACAAAAATTTAAATAATAAAAGGAAATAAAATTGTAATAAATAAAAAAATAAAACAATGAATTATAAAACTGAGAATGGTTTATTTTAAAGTGATATCAATACATATTAGGTAAGTACATACCGTACCTATGCATTGTTTGGGCTATGGCATTTTTGAGTTGATGGTTGATGAATGTGTCTTAAATTAACAAGTCTGAAAAAACAAACATTATCATTAAAATTAAAAATCAAAAAAAAACAAAACATGACGTGTAACTCAAAAACATATTTTAAGTAAAATAATTAAGTATCAGAACCGAAAAAAAACCATAAGTACAAATTAATTTATTGTTATAGTTGTAGTGACCGAGAAAATTCGAATTTTTAGAATACTAAAATTAACTTTTATTAATTTATTACGAATATTTTGAAACAAAAAGATTTATTATTTTTCGATATTTTGGTTGAGGCAAAATACCTAACAAAAATCAATTGTCATACTTAATAATTGATCGATTTTGTTTAATGTATATACCGCTTCAGGGCTTATTTAAAAACTATAATTAAGGAATACGAAGGAAAACCGACTTTCAAGTAGTTTTTAATCACCATGAATATTTTCCGAAACGGCAAATGAATGCTCTGCTCAGAATTAAAGAAAAAAAAAAAAAAAAAACGATATTTGTGATGAAAATATGTACTTACCATCAATTGGCTGGTGGCTGGAGCGGCCTTGGCGACGGTTTTGATGGCCTTGGCAGATTGGACTTGTCCGACGACAACGATGTTCATGGATACTTGTCCGACGACAACGATGTTCATGGATACCTTTTCAGCGCCCATTTTTGATTTTTGGTTTTGGTTTCGTGTAGTGAAATCGAAGTCTGAAAGAAATATGATTCAAAATTTCAAAAAATGGTCGAATGAAAAATGTGTAGATGCATTTTAAATAGGTAGGTGGGTAGGTAGGAAAACCACTTACCAAATAATTATTCTCACAAAAAGATGTGTTATGCCGGAATAGAAATCATATACGGGTATTTATACGTTTCCAGAAATCGATTAGATGACTAGTGATCTAGTGGCGTGATTCCGACACGCAAGCGCATTCGTCGGTCAGCGGTATGGCGTGATCGTCGTGTTAAAAAATACCGCTAAACATTATTATATACATTTTATAGAAAAGAATATGGTTTCGGCGGTTCTTTGGCTTGTTTTTTTTCGGTTTTGATTGGACTTTTATGGCTAAAAATATCGTAAACATAGTGGGTACCTATAACAGTTAGGTACCTTATGTACCGAAATAATTTTGATATCCAATGAACCCTGTATATTGTATAAGGTATACCTATGGTATATAGATATGTAGGTTCATCGATGTTTGGATGATGTGTACGTAGATACATATTAAAAGTACGAAAAAACATAAGTTCATAGAATCTTAAATTTCATTCCTTATTGCGTAGATACTATTAATATTTCGCTTTATTGTCAATGAAAAACATCATAGATTCCGATTGTCGTATGCGATTATTTTTTTTTTCTCAGAATACGTTCAAACGATTAATAAAAATATTCAGAATTTTTCGTTCCATAATTTATTGGGTTTAGGTAGGTAGGTAGGTAGGTAGGTACATTCGAAAATTCTTACCGGGCAAATATATAAATGTATAATATATGTGCGGACCACTTTAATTTTTGCCATATTAATAGTTGTATAGGTACCTAATTACAATTTTTGTTTTGAAAAGTAGAAAAACATTTTTGGACAATACATTTGTCGAAACTTTTACTATCAAATTAACATCATTAATATAATATCCACCTTTTATATATATGTTTTTTATGGGAAAATATTTCAGCCACTTAGGGACTATAAGATATCACTGTACAATTTCAATAGTCAGTAATATATCCAGGGTTTTCCAATTTCAAGTCCTCTACCGGCTTAGCTAAAAAAAAAAATAAAAAAGAACGAACATACTTCGCATGTTGGTGCAGCCCCTGTTGTAGGTGGAAAGTTGGGAAGATAGGATACAGACGGAAATTTAATGTATATCCATAAGTAACGACAAATCATTGTTAATGAAAAAACGATTCTGAGTGGAGTTCAGTTGAAAGTGTTGCTTTGTCAATAATACAATATATGATATATATCGTATTATGTTAAAATGATTACAAAAATGTGCGTTTCCATGACAACAATGATTGTTTAAAAAAGATTGAAATAATAATAACAAAAAATAAATAAAAACGGTTGTCAATGGCAACCTTATTTTGAATTTTTCTATCTTTTTAACTTAAAGACCGAGGTTTTCCTCATTACCTCGAATATTAATGAGAATTTCAAAAAATTACTTAAAGTACCACTTGGAGAACATTTCCTTTCAGAAAAGGTGCTATACTTGATAAACAGAGTATGCTCTCTGGCAAGAAAGTGTTCAAATAAAAAAAAAAAAAAACATTGTAAAACCAATAGATTCCTTGATCCACTTAGAATCTGAAATGTTAAAACAAACCAAAATCCTAACTAAAATAATAATATTACGAATAGTAAATGTCTAGACTTTCAATATTGTATGATTGATTGAGAAATACTTTCAGAAATAGAAAATACAACAAACGTCAATTATCGCCTATCGGGACCTCTTCGATTTGATTACAAAAATACAGACAGGAATTTAATGTAGATACATCTAATAAGCAACGATAAACCATTGCTAACGAAAAAACGTTTCTGAGTTGGGTTCAGCTGATAGTGTTGCTTTGTCGACAATAAATATGTCATATTATGATAAAATAATAAATTAACAATTAAGTAATAATAGTAGTAAATTACATAATATGCATTAAACATTTTTTTCAATATTTGTTTAATATTGTGCCTATTTTTCCGTCTTTTCTCCGTGTTTTTCCGGTTTTTCCAATATATTCAGAAAACTCTTGAGAAAATCAAAAAATGACCTCTATCAGCTACTTCAAAAGTAGAAATCCAGTAAAAATTTCCTTTCAGAAAAAGTGCTGTCATTGTAAATCGGAGCGAAATTGTTGATAGATAATTTACCAGTAGGTACCTATCGGAAATTTGTCTATACAATTCTGTATACGAATTACGAATGTAGATAGGTACATCGTGCAATGTAGTTAATAAATTAAATTTTTGATTTGTATCAACTGGTTCACTACTTTTATTCTGCCTAAACTAAAAAGTGAAATATCCCATAAACGAGTTGACGGAAATCAAAAATTGAATTTATTTTATAGACCATATTACATTTAATAAATTTTTTTATATTTTTGAAAAACCAAATTTTGTATCACTGCAGGATACTCCTTAAATGTTGTGAAAAATATAACTATACACTAAACAAAAATATCGTATTCAGCTACTCTTAAATATTTTCAAAATCAGAATATGGATTTATATATAATTTAACCCTAAAATAGAGCTGAGCATACTTGATGAATTACCCTGTTTATAAATTTATTTTTTTTTAAATAAAGAGCTATTTTTTGATTTTCCAAATAGTTAATGTAATAATTGGGAAAATCATAATAAAAACAAGTGAATTTACGGAAATAAATGTTTTATATTATTTTCAATTATGTTTAAATTAAATTAAAAATAACCGAAGTGATCTAAAATGTTCGCAAAATACTGATAGACGTAAGTCTTTTCTAGACTAGACTAGGAAAATATTCAAAAAAATTTAACGATTTTTGACATATTTATAGGCATTTAACATTTTTCAATTTGTTTAGTTTATATTTGGTTTTATGTGGATAAAATTTGTTTTAGCCGAGTAGGAATGTATTCAAATTTTACAAGAGGTTCATCAAAAAGTAGTTTTTTGTTTAAAATACAAACTAGATATGTGGGCAACTACGAATCTATGATACAAATAATCTTTGAGATCTAAAACTTTCACCGAAATTTGTATCGGTTTTTTCTAGATATAGTTCAAAACAATAAGTTTTTGATTTTTTTTAGTGTTTATAAGTTTGCGAATAACATTTTTTCGGATTCCCGAAAATACTTGAATATTTTTATAAAAAAAAATGTTCTTGTTGACATGACTGTATGCCATGTTCTTATGACGGCAATACAAAAAAAAAAAAAATCTAAAATCGGTATGTTTACGATCTTTTGTTTTGTGATCAAATGTTGATGAAATTTGTAAAAATCACAAAATTGCCCGAAATTTATTTTTAAATTAATATGGATAAGACTTATTTGGCTCCATAAAAATATTTGAAAATGTATAATTAATTTTGTAGTTATACAAATTATTACAATCTTTGATTTAAATTTATAAAAAGGCAAACAACACGAATAAGAATCAGAATTGTTTTTTGTTAGCAATGATATATCCTTGCTTATAGAAATAAATGAAAATACTCTATATATCATCCATAAAAAAGTGGTACACTTTATTGTCAATAAACTCTGCTTGTTTGATGTTTATGAGCAAATGGTCCGATTTTAATGATGTGTTCACATTGGTTCAAATTGAAATCACGCGATTATACTATTAAAAACAAAAGCACCTAACGTATTAGTGACGTATTAAATATAAATCACGCCACTTCGCCGCGCTCGCAGTTTAATCTTATCAAGCTGAAAACAGTATAAATACGGATTCGAGATCTCTGTTCAGGCATAACACATCTTTTTGTGCAATTTTATTCTTTGGTGAGTACACACATCTTTATAGTATACTTACGAGAACGAATACAATTTATTTTCTATTCGGTTAATTTTATTATTGTTTTTTTTTTTTATTCCTGTTTGTAGTCTTCACTTCGTTTCACGAAAACAAAACCAAAAATCAAAAATGGGCGCTGAAAAGGTATCCATGAACATCGTTGTCGTCGGACAAGTCCAATCTGCCAAGGCCATCAAAACCGTCGCCAAGGCCACCCCAGCCACCAGCCAATTGATGGTAAATCTATTCACCATTACTGTTTTTATATCCGTACTTATCAATTATTACCCATACTCGTTAAATTGCTGTCGTTTTTTTATAAAGTGACATTCAGAATCGATAATTTTTCGGCAAATATTTAAAAATTATTACGAAAAGATAAAAACATTCACATTTGTTTGGTACATTTTTCAATGATGTATGCTTTAATTGTTTTTTCTCCTGGTAATACATTTTAGTAGGTATAATGTTTTTTTCTAACTCGATATCAAAACGCGGTGATTTGATTAAATTATTGATCGTTTAATTAATTATCGTTTTTTTTTTTAATATTTTAAAATATTAAATAACTGAATAACCAAATGTGTCGGTTATCGAACATAATTCTCAATTTTTTTCATTTTTCAGTACAATATATTTTTAAAAACGAGAATAATTTATCATACTTTATACACATATTTCAACGTTTTGAATATTTTATTTTTTCTTTTCCTTTGCATACTATTTTTGATAGGTACTTATACTATACAGTAATTGGCAATTTATAAATATTATACCTACCTAACGTAAACCTTCTTGTCTCATATAATTTATTTATTTATTTTGTTTTTTTTTTTCAGACCTGTTAATTTCATGTAGTCCATACATTGCAAACTCAAAAATGCCATAGTCCAAACAATGCGTATTATGTATATAATTATTAATAATATGTATAATATGTATTGACACCTCAAAATAAACCAGTCTAATCCGTTATTTCATGTTTTTTTTTTGTTTTTTTTATTTGTTCATATTTGTATAATACCTATTTGATAAATGTTCTGGTAAATTAACACATATAAGTGTTAAATACGTAAACTCAACGATAATTCAAAATAATCGGTAGTTATGGATGCCGTAAAATCCTATTATTAACATATTTAAAAATTAACACAAAAGACTTAAATGTATATATATATTTAAACAACAAGTGGCGCATTTAGGGGAGTCCAAAATCGGCAGTCGACCTAAACAGTTAAATTTTAAAAGTGGTTAAATTAAAACTATTTTAGATGGCAATTTTTAGGATATTGAGAAAGCAAGATTAAGATAATGAAAATAAAGAAAATATTTAAGTAAGGAAATATCCGTTCAATGAAGGGAAACTTATTTTTGGCTTGAGGGGTAAAAACTTCAGATGCACCACTGACAAGAAAAGAATGTGAAATTTTTTTTATTATTACAATAGATTATAATATACCTACTTTGGCCAAACCGAAAAAAATACGAACAAATAAATCTTCGACGTCGTATATTATGATACATACAAGTAGTATGCACATATAGTAACAATAGTAGGATTCATATAATAAAATATAAAATATTATAATAGTAGATTAAAATAGAATAGAATATATAATAATTTTTGTAGGTATAGTATATATATATATGTGTTATAACCTACAAGTACTTACTACTTAGGTACCTACAATTTATTCATTTTTAAATCTCATAAAAAACTATAGAGCTACGTAATATGTCATTTTAAAACATGATTTTTAGATATATTTTTTCAAGAAAAACTATAATATACCTACAGTGAAACCTTTGAATAGCGGACACTCTCGGTCGTCGAATTTTTGTCCGCTATTCGGAGGTGTCCGTTATTCAGAGGGGTGAATTTTTGAAATTCAAAAAAGAAAAATATGTAAAATCGTCGTATTCTTATCATATTGTTCGATAACGAATTTGTTGAACGAGTTTATTATCGTTAAGCCGAATGCTGTCGCCGTTTTGACATTATTTTAGTACTGTCATTTTAGCAATATTTTTAAATTAAGATTAAAATAGTGTCTGTTATTCGGACGTTTTCCCGTTGAAAAGTTATGGAAATGTCACGGTTCCCAAAAACACGTCCGTTATTGGGAAGTGTTCATTAGAGGAAGTTTCACTGTAAATATACTTGTACTTGCATACCTCGCTACAATATATCTCCCTAACAAATAAATTAATATTTTATAACTTCAGATGTATATAATAAAATACCTATCTAATGTTTATGAATTTTACTTACGCTGAACTTGAGTAAACAGGTAAGTAATAACGTTATTCCAAATTCACTAATTTTAGTAGGTATTACTAATAATTTCCTTATATTTATGATACATATACATATAACCTATATACCCGAGTGGCGTAAATAAGGAAAGGGGCACAGTATTCTACAGCCTTCCAAAATGTCTTACTCGATTGAAAAATGTTAGTTAATAAAACTCATAAAACTATCACACATCTACTCCATACACAATACACCAATGTCATCTAGTGAATAATATAAATATAATTATTAATTATAGTTACTAAATAAAATATTTATCCTGTTTTTTTATTTTGAAATTATTATATCGTAATAATCATAGTTTTACAGTAGTATTAGTTTACTTTTTAGACAAGTTTTTAAGTGAATCCTATTGATAACGATCCCCTACAACTCACCAGACTAACTCAACAGAGCTAACAAAAAACAATTTTGAGCGGAGCTCGGTTCATAGTATTGCTTTTAAAATAATATAGGTATATTATACGTTATGTTACGACACATTGCGTTTCTAGGTGCACCCAAAATGCACTTGTTTTTTCCCTGTTACTTACCTAATGTGGTTCTGCAAAAAATATGTCGGAACTCGGGAATTTCAGGGAACTTACGCGATCTCTGGAATGACAACACCTACGACCCACTACTACACTACGAGATACTATACAATTAACAAATATTACATACTAAACTCTCAAAATGTCTACTAATAGCGCGAAAATCAACAAAATAATTTTAAATTTTAAAACGTCTAAAAAATGTTTACATATACAATTTTGTTTTTTTTTTTTTTTTGTTGTAATTCTGTTAAAATATTCGTAGGGCTTTGACATTTTGACAGGAAATTTTTATTTGCCTTTTTTGGACGTGGTAAAATGTTGGCAATTTTTGAGCTATTTGTTTTTTTACGAAAATATTATTTAAAAGGTATTATGTAGATATATAATTGTTTAATAAAACAGAAATTCTTAAACATTTTACTGGAGGTTCATTATAAGTTATACCTACTTAGAGTCCAACATCCTACCTTCTTAACTTCCGCCTACAATAGTGGCACAACTGTTTCCAGTATCAGCTCCTTTTTTCTTTGGGTTATATTTTTATTTTGACAGTAAAATAATTATATTAATAGGTAAATAATGATAAATTTAATTTGTGGTGAATTCCTTATCCAGTTCTGGCTATTTAGAGTTAAGAGGATTATAGCCTCTTCAAAATTTTTTCCACCCCCTCATAATTTTCTGAAGCTTCTCCTGAAAAAATGATAAATATTTTTCTTATTGGGTATTTACAATTTTTTTTCACAAAAATGTAAAAAATATATTAAAGGCTTATTCCTATCATAATCTGTTTAAATTGTTCCAAAACTGGTGTTTAATGTTCTGGTGTGAATATTAACGAAGAGGGTTTTAGCCACTCGAGAAATTCCTTCGACGAACACTGTCGAGAAGCCTGTAAAGAACAAGTACGTGCCACCAATAACCTTTTTCGGAAATCTTTCTCGAATATCTAGCTCCCCGTCGTTTAGCTCCTTATCACTCATGTTTAATTTTGTGATACGTACATTTAAATTGTTTTACCCATATTTTCCTATCCTAATTTAAATAATAACAATTTTTTTAACTGAGAGCGTGGTTTCGAAGTGTTAAATACTTAAATTACAGCAATATTTGTATTGAATAGTTAATTCCTTCCACAGATTCTTGGAAAAGGCGTAATAAAAACAAGAAAGTTTATGTAAATAACTGTTTCATATTATTTTCGATTTTGTTTTTTTGTTTTAATTAGCTTTTAAAAATAATCTAAGTGATCTAAAATTTACATTTGTACAAATCTTTTCTAAACGTAGTAAAATATTCAAAACTTTTAAACAATTTTTGACAAATGTATAGACATTTAAGATATTCCAATTTTTTTAGATTATATTTAGTTTTATGTGGATAAATTAAGCGAATTCAAGTAGCTATTTAATTAAAATATAGCTTCAAATATAAACACATTAAAAATAATCAATGACAACTGAAACTTTCAACAAAATTGATATCGATCCTTTTTAATACGTTTCAAAACAATTAATTTTCGGATTAATTAAAACGATTTGAAATTGTCAAGTTTTCATAGTGTATATTAGGTTTTATGTGGATAATTTTTTTTAAATTCCCAAAAATGCTTGAACATTTTTACAGGTTCGTAATTTGTCAGTTGTTCTTAAGATGACAACATTAAAATAAAAAAAGCTGTGCTGAATAATGGAAACTAGTGCAGCCACTATTATAGGTAGGTAATTTAATGTATAGTTGTATGCAATGATTAACCAAAGCTAATGAAAAAACTATTCTGAGCAGAGTTCAGTTGATAGTCTTGCTTTTGTCCACAATATATATGTCATATTGTGGTTTAATAATTACATATGCAATATATGTTTTCTTTAATAATTTTTGATTAAATTTTGATTACCTATTTTCCCGCGTTTCCTACGTTTTGCTCAGTTTTTCTCATTTATTGGGAAAAATCCTGAGAAAATTAAAAAAATTAATTTCTTCAACCTCTCCAATCGCATTTTCTTTAAGAAAAAGTGCTACATTTGTAAATTGGAGTAATATTTCTGGTAAAAAAGTTGTTCAACAGAAAAAAAAATATAAACATCATTGTAAAACCACATAAGCTTCTTCGCTTTACTCAGAATCTAAAAATCAAAAGTCTATATGGTCACTATGTTTATAATCAAATATTTATAAAAATTGTAGAAACCATAGCATATCACGTAATATGTTTTGAATTAATATAGATAAAACTTATTTGGCTCCATACAAATATTCAACAATTTGCGAAGAAAAAACACGGTTATTCATTTATCGATTTGTAAGTTTACAATTTATACAATTTTCAATTTAACTTCAACATCTTCCATTGCAACTTTCCCAATAAACCAGAGGAAAATTTGTCGTTAGATTAAAAAAAACAAAACATTTTATACATTTAACTAGTATAAAGCAGGTATGGGAATTAATGATCGATTCTCAATATTGTATTCACATTGATTTGTATTTAGATCACGCGATTTACTGTTAAAAACAAAAGTAGATACTTAATCAAAGTGACGTAACTAGTAATGTATAATCACGCCACTTTGCCGCGCCCGTAGTTTAATCTTATCAAGCTA